TGCGCTTGCCAGGCAGGCGCTTTTGCCGCTGAGCTAAATCCCCAGCCCCTTAAGTTCATGCTTAAAACCATTACAGGACACTTTCTCAGTCATAAAGGATGAAGCTGGGTACTAGTTTTGATGGGAAAAAAAACCTCGAAAGGGAAAGTGCACCAGGGAGAGCCAGCTAGCAGTGTTCTGCCCTCTTCTCCAACACGTGATGCCGTTTCCATGGTTTTCCCCACTGAACAACTGCAGGCGAGCCTTCCTTTAATAATGGAAACTACCCTCTTACAGTACCGGGTGGACTACTGATGCCAACAGCTGGAACTGTGGGAACTGTGTCAAACACGAAAGGGGCTTGGCGGCTTCTCCTCAGAAGCGGTGCAGGACCCGAAGAGAGGAGTGGCTCTGGCAGCAGAGCGTCCGGAGGCTGAAGCCCTCAGGGCAGAGCCCTGTGCGGTGGGTACCGCCAGCAGGGCCTCCCGACCTTGCATTTGCTTAGGGATCACTCCGTTTTGAAGACGCTGCTAGCTAACACTCTCAAGCATGCGCACTCACTACGCCCGGGTGGGGCCCAGGGTTACACATTTCTCACCAACTGAGGTGATTCTGACGTGGCAGTTCCAGGCAATGCTTTGAGAAGCATCAGTTTAAGATTTGGAAAAGAAAAGGAAAAAGGTTAAGGGGTGGGGAGGGAGAGAGAAAAGGAACGGGAAGAGTTCAAGGAAAGGAGGAGGAATCTAATAATAATCTGAAGTCTTTATTTAATAACATTTATGCGATAATTTCAAATTCAAAGCCGACACCTGACACTCCTGTTGATGTACTTCCTAACTCCTAGTGTCCTCACATCTATCTGCCCCCTCAACAACCTGCCCACTGCCCAGGATGCCCCGTCACCACATACACTCGCTTCTTGCTAGGAAGGCTAGAATTCTGCCAGGGACATATTACAGGATTTTAGAATGAGATGTGTATTGCATTTATATTTTGGTTTTAGAACAATTTTCGTATCGTTTGTTCTTTTTATATCTGAGTTGCCTCTATTTTACTTAATATCGCTAGATTAAAAACATGATCATAGCTCGACTGTTTCCAGGAAGAACAAAACAGTGCGGTCAGGTGAGCAGGCCTCTGCGGAGACACTGAGACAGCCTGAAGCAGTGGAAGAAAACAAGCAGGTGTGCAGTGCAATGTGGAAGCAGAAAGAAGGGAACCAATAGTTTGCGTAGGCCAGAAGAAGAGTCTGGAGTACTTGGGAGGGGAGGGCGGAAAGAGTCGCGGAGACGAGCTCAGTCCTTCGACAGGGTCGGGGTGACGGGGGCCAAGGAGACACACGTGACCGAACACGCGGGCTGCCACTCACACAGACAGACAGGACAGGCAAGGGCGGACGCAAGCCCTGAGGAAGCCTACAGACAAGTATTTTTCACGAGGAACCGCAAAAAGAAAATGAAGCTCTTTAAGGTTTTTATGTGAAAAAGTATAATTTCCATATATGATCTTGAAATGCCTTTAATGCCTAATACTAAATGCTATTTTTTACATGTAATATCACATTTGACTTTCTTTTCCTACGAGTATGTCTTATTCCAGACACTTTCTGTTGTCTCAAACTTTCCTAGGCCTCATAATTTGGAAATGATTTTTTTGCAAGAAGTTTAATGTTTGCTATATGCATTATTATATAATGTCTAACACAGGCACAGTGATTTTTCCAGACTTCATACATATAAATGTGGTATACCAATAGGCTCTGCAACTCCACTAGAGGGTTGGGAACACTTAAAGTCATCAATAAAAGCACTTAGGAACCTAAGGTCCGGGAAAATGAATGTGAGGCTACTGGATAATGGCTCTTCCCTCAGCCCGATGGAAAGGCAAAGTTGCTTGGGGAGCATTTGGAGTGCAGGTGGAGGCAAAGCAAAGAACAAAAGCTGAAGAGAGTGAAACGAGAGAAGGAAGACCGAAACATCAGGCTGTCAGGGGCAGGAGCCCTGGGGCGTGGTCTGAGGTGGGAGAACATTGTCAAAGGGGAAATCAGCCTTGATGTCATTCTTCAGGCTGGCCGGCTTTCACTGAACATGTCCTGAGAAATTCTTATCATTCTCTAGTTCTTTCCCTCTAGTCATTAATTTATTTGCTAAATTATCCTTCTTTACAAATTTCCCTATGGTAGAACTCAGGTAAGGGATCTCAAGTCAGGCTCTTTCCTTTCTTTCTCTTTCTGTAGCAGCGGGGATTGAGTCAAGGGCCTTCGCACTGAGCTATATCCCAAGTCCTTTTTATATTAAATTTTGAGACAGGCTGGGTACAAACTTGAGATCCTCTTGCGTTAGCCTCCCAGAGTACTGGGGAAAAAAATCTGTGTCTCTTACACATCCATGTAAGCAGACTTGTTTTAAAAGCCTGCGATCATATTATTGTTCTTCCATGTACCATAAAGAAAACTAAAAGCTCTATGAGCAGACCAGAGCTTATGAGCTGCGGGCAGATCTTCGGGAATCCAATGCACTCTTCAAAACCCCCATTTCTCCCTGATGGCAAACTTAGTGACCAACAGGGTACGGGAGACTCAAACTCAGGGCCGGGGCCCGAACCTCTGCACGCCCTTCCGTCTTCAGTCACTGTGCTCACTGCTCAGGCCCACGTCCTCGAGAAGAGGGTGTGGGTGGCACTGGGGCTCCTCCCTCTGACTGGCACCAGGTGCTTCTTCAGACTCAGGTCACAAGAACTGTCTAAAGAATAGGAAGCAGACAAGCAGAGGTAAGTCCCACATTTTATCAGAGAAAATAAGGGGACTGGATATGTATGTACGGAGTACACGTGTAGAAGTGGAAGGACAGAGGCCTCACTAAGGGCCAGCATTTACCTGATGAGCGGAGTGAACCCTTGGGACGTAAGGGATCTGTTCAGGGTGGGATAATGATAAGCATGAAAGGAATGGGTGGAAGCAGAGAAAATACGAAACACAGGTAGAAAAGAGATTCTCCTCTAAACATCGCTGTCTTCTAATCATCTGTATCTTTTTGCCGATCATAATTAGGCTCCAGGGTCCTTAAAATGGGGTGCTGCTTCTTTCACCTTACCTCTTCAATCCAGCCACTTGATTTTGACTGACTGAAAATTCTTTCCACTGTTTCCTTCACCTGTTCATCCTCAACTTCTTCTGTCTTTGCAAGGGAGCAACATTCCTGGTACAGTTTGAATTTAAAGTGTTTCAGTTTATGGTAAATTCTGGTTCGATCAGCACAGGTGCTGCCAACAGTAAACACCTAGACCAAGAAACAAACAATAATCTCACATACGGAGTGGATCATGCAGTAATGTACACAGCATTTCCGACTTGAACAGAATTTAGCAAACGAACTGTTAAGTTTACCTTCAATGTTTACATAATGATTCCGCTGTCTTCTCTTATATAATTCACTGACTACCCACGCTGCTCCCAGTACCGGGCTAGGCACTGGAGACGGATAAGGGAAAGGGCTACTCTCTTCAAGAGGAATTTACCGTTTTGAGATTATAAAACAATGTGACAAATGCAACATATAAGCTACTATCAAGAGGCTAGTGAGGAAGGCTACTTAATCCAATCTAGAGAGAAGGAGGTTCCCCAAGTCCGTAATGTGTGAACTAAATGTTCAAGACACACGGTTAGCCAACCATAGGAAGGAAGAGAGAAACAGTTTGCAAAGCAGAAAGATGGACATATACGAAAAAGCTGTACACTGCACATACAGATGTGATACTGTTCAACAGATGAGCCAAGACTACGCTGTCAAAATCAGTTCAAGTCACGGCACGATGACTGCTAACAGTCAGGGCTGAGGCATTTTCTTGTGAAGATGGTGCTTTGGACAGCTTATAACCTGTCTTATGATCCCCCAAGCGGAGGAAAAGCAAGTTCAGATTTCTGTTCATGCTTCTCTGAAAAATCTGCCCGCTTTTCAGATCGTTAGAATTAATAAAGGATTATAATTTGCTTGTTTCTTACATTAGCTTTTCCATTTCAACATTATTATTAAACCAGTCCTGTTATAAAGAGCATAACGTAATTCAATAGTCAGTCTATCTCCCTTAGAGAGATGGGCACCAGGTGCAGTGCCCTTTAGGGGTTCCCAGTGGGTCTCTTTCTGCCATCAAGTCAAATGTGTGAGAAAAGTCTTCTATAGCTGTTCTAAATAAAATACAGTCAAACAAATATAGCTAAATATTGCAATTTATAGCTCTATCATATTGTAATATCTATTTCCACAAAGTAAGAGAAATTTATCTTTAGAGAAATTTTAAGTTGGAATAAAAGAATCATTTAAAATTCTTATTTCAATTTTTCCTCCATGAAACAAAACATTTGAAAATATTTCTTTTCAGTTTTAATTTCTATCCTCTTAGCATCCACTTGCCTTTATAAAGGTGATAACCCCCAAATTATCTTTAGAATATTCACACTATTTTTCCCTAAACATGATCAGATGTGTCATGGAAAGGCCTAATTTTATATGGAAGAACCCTAGCGTTGTGAGGTTTCATAGGAAACAGCAGATGCACACAGAGCTTACACTGCAGTTTTTATTTGTGCGAAGTAGGGAAACAGGCGAAACTAATCTATGCTTAGAACAATTTCCTTACATGTTCAGAAATGTACTCAGAGCTCCTTCTACTTACCTAGTTACCTTTCCACACAAGGAAACCTGTGTAACAGGAGAGTATGAAAAAGACTGCCTGCTCCTAAGTGTTACAAAAGCAGATAAGCAGGACGACAGACGAGTGACCACTGATCTATGCAGGGCTAGCACATTTCCAGCTAAATCTGAGGGTAACTGAGTCACCTGCTGTCAATGTGAACCAAGTGAGCCTATATATCCAAACATACAAAGTAAGAGGACGCTAAACTGCAAAATAGTAGAAGGAGTCTGATTTGTAATTTGTCAGATACATCACGGAAATGTGTAAATTAATTTGAGATAACAAACTAAGGCAAGGAAAATAGCATGAAAATGTACTATGGAGACATGGTAACATCCAGCCAACCGCAGGTAACTTTTTGAGTTATTTACGCGGGTTCTCATTTGTTTGCGTTGTTACTTACATCTATTAGTATACGTCTGGAGTACGAAATTACTACATTCATCACGGGGCTCTGTACATGTCCATGACATACTGTAGTTCTCTCCATGTCCCCGCCCCCTTCTCCCTGCCGCTTCCCCCATCTCTTCTCTTTCCACGTACAAAAGATCTATGTGCCTGCTCCTATCCCTCTCTTTCCATTTGCTCCTTATTTATACTTCGGGTTTCTCACATAAGAGAAACCATGTGAGAGTTAAGCTTCTCATGTATTTTACTTAAAATTATAGTCTCAAGGTACATCCATCTCATTTAATATACAGAGGAGCCAGTTCCTTATGGAAGCAAATCTACGGAGCACAAACAGAAAGAGAGGGATGGGAAAAGGTTGTTTTCTGTAAGCCTAAAGAAACAGTGCAATAGACTGACCCAGGGATTCCATTTCCTCTTAATCCGTTTTCTTTTGTCATGTGGACACATTAACATTGCCACTTGCCTCGAAATTACTAGCTCTTCCCATGAGATCTTAAGCGGCTTAGGGAGTCCAGACAGACTCTGTGCAAAACACCTGACTCAAGTTTTTGTCTGCAGCTCTCGCACCTGCCTTCAAGCCTCACATTCCTCCTTGCTCCAGGAACCCTTCCCGTCCTCTGTGTTCTCAGGGTTCACCTCAGTCTGATGGTCCAGGGCATCTCACGTCAGGACCCTCCCCAGCACCACTGTAACTAAGTTCCTCTTAACTGCATTTGCTATCAAAGCATGCATTTTAAACAAGCTCATCTCTGGCAACTGAAGAAAGTTTTCCTGTTAAACAAATTCAATGTTATGTAAATTCTCTTGAAGTGTTATGTGCACCTTTAAAAAGAGCCCTAATCCCAGAGTCTCCTGTCTGTATTACCACAAGCAGCATCACAAAATTGAGAACTATGTTTCAAAACACTCTGAGGGTAGGTGTGGAGTTGGCATAGTCTTTTTCATGCTCTAGATTATAAACACATTTGTTTCTCCTATTTCTTTACATACCTACACTAACACTGTACTTCAATAGGCTATACAAAGTTTTAGTAAGTGATTCTTCATTTTAAAGAAAAATTTTCTGAAAAATATTATTAAAGAAGTTCAATTTCACTTGCTTAACATCTACAACAATCAGGTTAAAGTTTGAATGTACTTAGACACACAAATCCAAATTTTTACACAGAAATGTACGCACTGCTTATTTCACTTTCACCTTGCATTACTTAACATTATACTTTATCACTGATTTAAAAATATTTTGCTATTTTAAAAGCTATCAACCTTCATCTTAAGGTAGTTTCATTTATATGCATTTAAATAGAGAATATGCATTTTTCCATATATTTAACTTTAATGTTTTTTCCATTGTGTTATGGCTATACTGACACTCTTTGTTTTATGTGATCTCTTTTATTTTTCTAGATGTTTGAATTAACTATTTATAATTTTTTGTAGTACAGGGGATTGAACCCAGGGCCTCTGTATACTGTGCTACATCCCCAGTGACTCTTCCCCCGTCCTTTTGAGAAGTAGTCTCGCTAGGATGCCCAGCTGGGATTAGAACTTGTGATCACCCTTTAGCCTTCTTCAGAGCTGGAATTTGAAGTGTGGGCCAATGCACCTGACTTATATAGAACCATTTTTCCTTGACAGGAATGCCAAAGCTCTAGAAATGGTCTTCTAACTACCCTTTCCTCTCCTGGATGAGTTACACATAGCAAAGACTACAAGTGTTAAGCAATATATTGGAGCTCCATAACTGTACAGTCTTTTAAGTATTAAATCTTTTCTAGGGTTCTAGGGGTCTTATCCATAAGTCACAGAGGAGTTTTTATAAACAATGGGGAAATTGTTGAGGAAAATGTTTTTATAGTAACTTGGGGAACAAAACATTAGAGCCCAGTTCTGAATTCACTATACAAATACAAATTCTCTAAGTGATTCCTGCAGTCCACGTTGCAGAGGATGTAGTATATGAACACCCAGTGCTGAGGACGCACACTGTATTTCCACCATAACAACAGGGAAGACATGGGGACAACTCTGTCCCTGAATCTTTCCAAACACACATATCCTTCAGGGATTGTTGGGGACTGACTGTTTAAGGGTTGGTGGGGGCCAAGTTGCTGATCTAGGCCCCACAGTCCTGAGGCCTGTGCTGACTTTCCCAGGGAATGAAAAGTATGTGGAAAGCTGTATGTTTTTCTGGCTGTGCACAGAGAGCTCACCGTACTCTCAGGGCAAGATAACATCCACTGAGGGCAACAGAAAGAAAGCTACCTCGCTATTAACTGTGTAGTCACCCAGGTGTGGGGAAGGGCTTGCTCCCCTTTTCCCCCGTGGGGAGCAGCTGAGCTGGAGATGGACCATACATTCAGGGCTACAGCAAGGCCAGCCCTGAGAAGCCGGAGCTCCAGGGGCGAGCCAGGTGAACAAGTTGCTGGGACTACAGCAAGCCAGGCCAGCAGGTGTCTGGCCTTCGTGTTCCTCCCTGTTAACTACAGCACGGATAGCTTCAAGAACGTTCCACTTTCAGTGTTCTCAGCAAAACATTCAGACCTTGCACTTCTGACTTCTTTACTCACCTCCCCCTTTTTACCATGTATAAAAAAAGAGCAAGACCATTCTGGGTTGTCACTGCCTCTCCATCAGAGAGGTCAGGGCCACCCCAGTCCCAGCTTTCCTTTTAGTATGTGCCTGTAAAGTTTTCTTAATCTCCCGTCGCCCCCTCTCAGGACCTGGCTGGCCGTGCAGGTCGCAGCATCCCCTTCTGAAGTTACACTTCCTTCTTATTTTTCAGAATCTCTTTCAACCATTTCATCAGTGATGCACGACTCCGTCCCCCTGTGCTTCTTGCTGTCTAATGAAAGCGAGCTGACATAGGGGCTGTCGAGCCTGCTCACTAGAAGCAGACTCCTCCCAGGCCCCTGTACCTGAATAGCCTTCTGTCTTTCTTTATTCCCCATAGTCCCCATACGTATGACGGACTCTCATCAGCTGCCGGCAGTGTATAGGTGCTCACTATAGGAAACACTCAATAGTAATATTTTTGCATCACTTTGCATTACTATAGAAATGCAGTTTTCTTACAAAGATTAACTAAACACTAGGCAGCATCTAAGCTTTGTATCAGTCCACATTGTACTGCTGTGCTCTTGTCTGTCACATATCTATTCTTCAATATTCTCAATTCATTCAAAATTACTTCCATTTTAAGTATGTGGTGATTACTCTAGACTTTAGATTACTCTATACACATTTCTGATGTAGTCTAAGTTGAAGTATGGTGTTCCCTGAATTCCCTCATGGTAGAATACACAGCCATCTTCAACTGCTTACTTATGGACTACAAGTTTGGCAGATTATCTGCCATAAAACTATCCATCTGCCAAATCCCCCTTTGGACTCAAAGGCAAGCCCTACTTCTTCTGCCCCACGAGCTTTCTCATCATTCTTATCTTATTTCCTTCCCTCCCCACAATGTGGGTGATTATCTGCCTATATCTGTATTTGTATCTGTATCTATCCACAGAAGATGCAGCAATTATATCACTGAATTAGAAATGAATATGCTATGTAAGGTATGTTTTTCTCATTCTAAAATTGTACTTTATTTTCCTTCCTAGAGTTTTTTCTATTTGTAAAACTTAAGGTTATTTGTGAAAGCTTATGAACTGAACATTTCTAAATATTTAAAACTAAAATTAGAGAAAAATATACCTGTTTATCATGTGACATGAAATCATCTGTTTCCATAGTTCTGGTGTTATACAGCGCTCCCGATAAGTGCACTGAATATTTACAGTAGCGATGCAGTCCACAAGCCTGGCAAAAACAGCTTTCCGGATTCTTCAAATGGATACTTACAACAGAATAGTTTTCTACTCGCTCCTGAAAACAATTTAAAAATATTAGGAAGCTTAAAATAAAAATAAAGTAAAGTAAGAATCTAAATTAAAACTGACCTTAGAATCACAATAGAAAGTGTTAAATGCAAAATGCACTGATATTTCTTACTTTAACACTGAGCACACAGCAGGTGTCTGACTTATTTTTAAATGAAATTTTAATCTTAGCATTTAAATGAAAAGAAACGAGGTGAGGAAAAAATCGAGATTCATATCTCTCACATTTAGGAGTTACTACTGAGTAGTTTTCTTGATAGATTTTAATTTACTTCTTTTCTCTCGTCTCATGGATAAATAACATCAATGAGGTATTAGTTAAAAATAGGAATGAATGAACAGCAAGAATCAGTATAATGTAAAAAAATTACATGTTAGCTAGGTCAAAGTTGAGAAAAGAATCACATTCATACTTCATTGTATGAATTATATTTTCCATAAAACGTTCCAGAAATTATTTAACTCTCCTTTTGTTACCTGCTACAGCCTGGGGAAAATAAACACACTGGAATTAAGACTGCTGCATGTCCAGTATTGAAGCACAGGCTGAGATAAAACCTTTAAGATAAAAGCCATTGGCCTGGTTTCCTGAGCGCCTGCAATGCGCAGAGCATTCCTGGTGGCTCACGCTGGATGTGTATGTGACAAATACACTTTGCTGGAATAAACTCCTGGTATTTGTTATGCATTTTTTGTTTGTTTGTCTTGTTAGCTGTTTTATCAGCTGTGGTATGTTATGCTTTGCATCTGGGGTGCGTCCCAAAGCCTCCTGTGTTTGGAAGGTGATTACACCATGAGGAGTACGATACTCATTCGTGGACTAGTGCACCGATGAATTCATAGCTGACTTGCTAACAGGAGGTGGGTGGCAAGGTGTGGGACCTGGAAGGCTTCACACCCGACTCCTCCGTTCTCCTCTGCTTTCTGGCCACCATGCACTTCTTGCACCAGCCCTTCTGTCGTGCCACTTCTCCCTTGCTGCCTGGCGACCACGGACTGAAACTTCTACACCGTGAGCCCAAGTAGACTCCTCCTGCTGCTAGCTGCGGGTGTCAGCAGTGAGGCAGTAACTAACACACAGTGTGACTCTCTCACCCTAGTATCGTACTGACTCACCTATGTACGTGTCTGACAATTCTGTGCATTTTATAGTTATTTCAATGTGGGTTTATTACTACAGCCTAACATAGCACGGAGGGATGGATTTTGGAGTCTGAAAGAAAACAGATTTAAATACTGGCCTAATTATTAGCCATGAAACCTTATGCTACTTAATTTTTCTGAGTTTGTTTCCTGGACTGTAAAGTAAAGGTGATTACATCTGCTTCCCCATAGGGTAATCTGAAGAGTAAATAAGATACTTTACATGCAAATCACTTGGCAAAAGTTAAGCATGTTGTTTTTCTTCCTATTAAAGAAAACTAGCTGGGTTCTGTGGTACACATCTGCAACTCAGGACTGAGGGAGCCAGAGGGAGGGAGAGCTCGCGTTCAAGCACCACGGGGACAACTTAGTGAGACCTGGTCTCAAAGTAAAAAATGGAAAGTGCTGGAGATACAGCTCAGGGGTAGAATGCCTCTGGGCTTGATCCTCAGTACTGAAAAAAACGAGAAAAGAAAGAAGAAAGGAAGTAAGAAAGGGGAGAGAGAAAGAGCTGGTGAGTGGGAGGGATGGAGAGAGGGATTTTGCCACGTTATAAGAGCTATGCTATATTCATTTTACCTTCAAATTAAATATATCCCTTTAAAGGTAAATACTGTCTGTATCTGAAGCAGAAACTGGAGTTTAGAGAGGGTGAAAAGGTATCCAAAAGCAAAAGCACATACACACTACCCCTAAACTCAACCCCACCCTCCGACTCAAGGTCTTATAACTCTGTAATCCCACAACTATCTCTTAAACCTAACTATTTACACCTAACTTATCATCAAGTAACTCAAGGATGAACAGGCCTTGGATGAAACCAAAGTCTTTGATAAACTGAGGTAAAATGGCTAATGATTGAAGTATTAGAAGGATTTTAAGTAATGTGAACTTCCAGTATTACCATTTTCCTTTTAAGAATGTTAGGAATAGATGAGAAAACCTTAAAAATCACATACTACATCCTTTATTAGAGATCATAAAATAGAATTATAGAGAATAGCATAAAATCCAGTAAGTCTTATAAATTAAAAGGGTTAATTCAAAAACTGGTAGAATTACAGAATCTTAAAGTAGAGAAGAATCAAGTATTATAGAAGCCAATGTTTCCCAATCTATTTTATGGAAATCAAATGCCTTAGAGAGAATAACAAGCATTTCATGAAAAGGAGTCTCAAATAAATCTGGAAAGTACTACATTCTATTTTGCCATTTTGAAGGTTTACAGTATAAATTCACAAATTAATGCGCCTGAAAAGTCTTTCAGCAAAGAATACAGTTTAAATTGAACCCACTATTTCTCAAACTTCTTTGTCTATATAATTCCTTTTTTTTTTCTGAAATAACAACTCCTTGAGAGATATACCCGCTTTTTAAAGGATGGCCTAAACCCTAGCAATATTCTGAAGTTATTTATCATTTAGAACCACTTAATTATTTAATAGTTTAGTGTGAGTGATCAACACAATAAGTCTTTAGAAAAGATAAGAAATAGTAAGCTGACTAGTAATAAAGAGAAATGCTAATACTTAAGATTATTCTGGTTGACTGGATACCGATATCCAGGGAGGCCCACTACCTCAGCTCCCTCTGCAGTCTCCTCCAGAGACTGAAAAATAACCCGTATACCTTATACTGCTCTTTCCAACGACTCCTAGAAGATAAATTCTCCAGTCGGGGCTGAATAAAGCGGTCATCCAAATAATGAAGAGATGTCAACATATCTTGTGCATATGATTTTTGCCTGGTGCCATCTGTTGAGAAGATCAACACAATAATAAAAACAATCACTTTGTCCATGTAAAGCACTGCAAACACTGAACATTTAATGGTATCTTCCCATAGTTTTATGAAGATGGCTGGTTGGAAATACTTTAAATTAGAGACGAACTAGTGAAGTAAAATATTGTTTCATCAGAGCATGAGGGGGAAAAGTCAGGGTAAGAGACTACAGTTCTCTTTGTAAGTATCGAACTTTAACATTATTTTTGCTAGAAGAAAAACCTGGCAGTTTTCTGTTTTATTCTCTTATGCGAAACTGACACAGATTAACCACTGTGTTCTAGATAAAACTTAGAGCTGACTAGGCTTCCAAGGCCATCTACAACTGGCTCCATTCAGTGTTAACTCCTCACGTCAGCAAATCAGAACCTTTCAAGCTAGCCCTTTTCTTTCTTTCCCTATTTAGGATGCTACACAATTTGGCATTCCTGACTTAGTTCATACGGCTTATATATATCTTTTACAGCCTATGAAGTTTAATTTCTTGTCTTCTTTGAAGTTTTCTTAACGAATTCTATCTAGTTGATTTATGTTTTCTTAAATCATTACAGAGTCGAACACTTTTGTCATCGCTTACAAAGAATTCATCTCTTCTCCCTCTTCCTCAACTCTAGCTACAAGGCCTTGTAATATAGATCTTGAATACACTAAAGTGATTCCTTCCTAAGAGTTTTAGAACTTGTTGTACCCCTAGTTCCACATATTACTTGTTCCCTCATTTATGTTTCTATTTAAAAGTTACCTCTTGAAAGACACTCTTTGATCAATCTTAACACAGACTTTATAATATATATAACACAGACTTTAGTTTTCCTTACTATCATCTATCAATTTATGTTACTCTATTTTTCCATGAACTAGTTTATAGTACACTGTATCACTGGTTCATTCATGTACTGTATGTCTCTCGCATTAGACTTTAAACATGAAGGCAGGAATCACATCTTAGCCTTGTTGTATCACCAGCTCTTAAGTAATGCCCGGTCCAATGGTAGGTACTCAACAACTATGTGTCCAATAACTTATGAATAAAATCCTGTTTTAGCACTTACGTAGGTATTCAATAAAACATATTTGTAGCCTATTAAATCCAGATTCTGGGCTGGATGGAAGGAACACACTTATACATTAAGTGTAGTTCCTCCCACACTTTAGCAAGGGAGGAAAACAAACATGCATTTTCAATACAATATGAAAAATGTATTATGTAAGTGCTACCACTTCATCAGGATGGTGGTATGAATGAGAGAGACAGTTTCATAGTGGAAATGTTTTAAATCTCAACTAGAAATCTGGGGTAAAAAGAAATTATATCCTAAGAATAAACTAAGACCTCAAAACATAAAATAGCATGTCAATTTTGGTGAAATTCAAAGAACTTACAGAAGTTAGACTGCCCAAGAGTACTAATGTACTCTGCTGATTTCTGAGTATATGCTGGGGCAAGGCCCTGTTGCATACTTACCTTCTACATAACTCAAGGAACACTAGGATAAGTTTAATATGAATATATTTTTGGTATGGTTTATCCTCAAAGGAACAACTAGTAAGTCTTAAGGATGGTTCTCCATGGTTTTGTTTGTTGCTTAAAACTTGGAAAAAAAAATGTTACAGACATGCTATTAACTTACCATACAATGTTCCCAAAAAAGAGGCATCTAAAGCATTGATCAGAAGAGCCTTTACCACTCTTTCAAAGTGAGTATAGTGGTCACTAAAAGAATCTGAAATTAATTTAAAATAGATATTAGGATCTGGTAGACAAAATAATTCACCGAATACAATAGGCTTCTTTACCAACTTGAAGAAATTAATATTATAAATAGCAGAAATTCCTTAATCATCCTGTAGGAGTCTTGATAACTTGTGTGGTCACTGAGCAGATCTCCATTTTCCAAATTTTCTGGCTTCTAGTCCAATTTTTCTAGTTATTATTTCAAACTTTCATTTCCTAAACTTACTAAGGAATAGTAGTTTGGGAATATTAAGAGATATGTTGTAAAAAAGTATCAAAATCATCAAGAAGATTATACACCATGACCAAATGGGATTCATCCTAGGAATGCAGGGATGGTTCAACATTCGCAAATCAATAAATGTAATACACCATACTAAGAGAGCCAATGACAAGAATGAAATGATCACAGCAATACATGCATAAAAAGCTTCTGACAAAGTCCCATACTCATTCATGATAAAAACTCCACAGAAGATCAGAACAGTCTTTACCTTAATCTGATAAGAACCATTTACAACAAACCAAGAGCTAACATCATACTAAATGGTCAAAAACTTAAAGCTTTCACTCTAAAATCAGCAACAAGACAAGGATGTTCACTATTACCACTGCTGTTCAACATAGTTCTAGAAACACTAGCCAGAACAATTAGGCAAGAGGGAGAACTAAAAGGAATAAGAATAGGAAAGGAAGAAGTTAAATTATCATTATTCACAGATGACATAATACTCTAGAAGACTCAAAAAACTCCACTAAAAAACTGCTAGATTTAATAAACAAATTCAGTAGTGTGGCTGGATACAGTCAACACTCAGAAAATCAATAGCCATCCTGTACATGAATATCAAACTCACTGAGAGAGAAATTAGGGAAACCATAACCTTCACAATAGCACCCAAAAAAATGAAATACTCAGGAACCAATCTAACAAAGGAAGAGCTATGCACTGAAAATTACAGTACTCTGAAAAGAAAAAGATCAAAGAGGATTTCAGAATATGGAAAGATATCCCTTGCTTCTTGGGGTAGAAAGAACCAATAGTAAAAATGGTCATACTTCCAAAACTGTTACGTATATTTAATGCAATTCGGATCAAAATTCCAATAGCATATCTCACAGAATTAGAGAAAACAATCCTAAAATTCATCTGGAACCAGAAGAGACCTAGAATGCAAATGCAAGTCTGGGTAACAAAGGCAAGGCAGAGGGCATCACAATTCCTGACTTGAAACTATAGTATAAAGCTATGGTGACAAAAACAGCATGGTATTGGCAAAACATGAAACAAGAAAACAAAAACAGACCTGAAGATCAATGGAACAGATTAGAAGATGCAGAAACAACTCCAGACATACTCAGCCACCTTACCTATGACAAAGGGGCCAACCACATTCACTGGAAGAAAGGTAGCCTCTTTAATAAATGGTGCTAAAAAAACTGGCTCTCCACATGCTGAAGATTAAAATTGGACCCATATCTTTCACTATGCACTAAATTCGAAATGGATCCAAGATCTAAATATTAAACCAGAAACATTAAATCTGCTGGAATATAGAATATTAAAATTCTTGAAGACACTGGTGTAGGCAGAAACTTCATAAATAACACCCAGATCGTACAGGAACTGTCACAAAGAATCAACAACTGGGATCTCATCTTATTAAAAGCTTTTGCACGGCAAGAGAAACCACCAACAGAGTGAAGAGACAACCCACAATGTGGGAAAAAATGTTTGCCAGTTTTCTTCAGACAAAGGATTACTAACCAGACCACATAAAAAACTAAAAAAAAAAAAAAAAGTCAGACCTCCCAAATTTAAAGACCCGATCCAAAAATGGGCATCTGAGATGAATACACAATTTTCAGATGAAGAAATACAAACAGCAAATAAGTATATGAAAAAATGTTCAACATCATGCTCATTTAAAATGCAAATTAAAACAACACTGAGATTCCATCTCATCCCAGAAACAATGACTATTACCAAGAAATCAACCTATAACAAATGCTGGAGAGACTGTGGGGAAAAAGTAATCCTTCTGCACTGATGGTGAAGGCATAGATTGATACAACCACTATGGAAATCAGTGTGCAGAGTCCTCAAAAAACTAGGACTGGAGGGCCTGTTTGACCCGGATATTCCCCTTCTGGTTATCTTTCCAGAAGAATCAAAAACACTGTACTACAGCTACATATGTGCACCTACATTTATAGTAGCACAATTTGTAATAGCTAGATCTTGGAAACAACCCAAATGCTCATCAACTGAGGAATGGATAAAAAAGATTTTTTTATGCAATGGAATACTACTCAGCTGTAAAGAAGGATAAATGAGAGCCAGGTAAATGGATGTAACTTGAGACCATACTCATAAGTGAAATAAACCAGATGCACACGTGTAAACATTGTTTTGTCTCCCTAGTGTGAGAAGCTGAAAGAGGAAACAAGATCCAAGATGTACAACAGATATTGTAAAATGGGAAGAAACTTCAAAAGGAAAGAGAAACTGGGATGAGGGAATGGAGAAAAGAAAGGAAGGGAAGGGCCAGGGACATAGCTCAGCAGTACAAGCGCCTGCCTGGCAACACAAGGTCCT